CCCACCCTCTCAACCCACCGCACTTCTAGAAATACATTTACTAAAGCAAAGAAAACAAAGTTTTACTTCCCCGGACCCCTATTTCTCCCCTCCCTTCTTCTGTGCACCCCCACCCCACCTGCAGATGTCTATTTATTTCGCTCCATAGAAATAACCTTTTCCTGTGTCTAATTCTGTAGCTTCCCTTTTTTTTTTTAATACTGCAAATATATGACATGATAGTTTGGTACACCATGGCTATATGAACGCCTAACCAGCTCACACTAATTTCAATGTAACGTAGATACATGGATCGCAGAAGTAACCTTTTCTTGGATCTAATCACAGCCCTTGCCAAAATCATGACCAACTGGAGGATACTGCTGGTTAGAGACACTTTTTATGTATCTGTACTTCCAGAAGCCACCCATATGTAAAATACTTCTACAAGAGCCATATCCGGTGGCATATGTTTGTCAGGATCGTCTAACGAGGAAGTTTTACAGTCGACTTATCCGTTTGTCTTAAGAAGATCTTCAAGGCTTTCTGACCAGAAATATCGGTGTCATGCTCTGCTCAAGGTACGAGGCACCCGCAGATTTTGAAACTCTTTAATAGTATTTCGCTAGTTTATAAGCAACTTTGTCTCTCTACATAAATATATGTTCGATGAAAGGACTCAAAACAATCGATCGTCAACAAGTCATTGTGGGACCAGTGCGCACTCCTTGTGAACGGATGTCTCACTTGTTTACAATGGCGTTTTAGAAGACAGACTTTCCCAAGATTAAATCTAAACGAAACTAATGAAAAACTTAAAATTAAACGACAGTGACTTCAGGCTCCCTGATATAACTGTGCACCCTGTAAATAATTCTGAACCACAGTTAATTGTTTTCAAATTCGAAAGTTAAGTGATTCGGAAGTTTTAGGCGACCAAAGTGACGAACTTTCACACGTGTGTGTGTGTGTGTGTGTGTGTGTGTGTGTGTGTGTGTGTGTGTGTGTGTGTGTGTGTGTGTGAGCTAATACTTATTCATTCGGTGTAGACTGCATTGCACCTCTGGTCTAAGGCACATTTCAGAGTGCGCGCCATTTTTAAATAATACAAGCGGGTGGATCGGAATATAAACATGCAACTCAAAACTGATCACGCCCTAAAAGTAATATGGTAGAGGCGCTTGCTATAAACGCTAAAAACTTTTGAGATATAGCCAGTTTTGTGTCAGTGTGATTACGAACAAAGTTGTCACAAATGAACTTTTAGTTTGTTTGATTAATTTAATCAGTTCGTGTAACAGACACAAGTAGTCATGTAATAAGTCTGTATAACTGTTTGAGCGTTGGCGAGAATACATGTGTTTCACCAATAGTCAAGTTAAAAGATCCTAGCAGTTTCCTTGTGTATCTCATAACGTGCATGCTAGGAAGGAACCACCCCCCCCCCCCAAAAAAAAAAACCCCAACGAAATTACCCCAAACTCCCCTCCCCCCTCACCCCCTAACAAAACAAAGGTGATAAATATATGGAGCCAGTCAACGCACTGTGCCCTCAACTGGAATCATAGCTTCCAAATAAATTTCCCTGTTCAAATCGTTTTCGTGAAAAGTATCTCGGACGCGCCTATAGTTCAGTTGGTATCATGCTGGACTACTGAGTGGATGCCCGCGGTACGCATCCACAAAGTGATGTTCTTGAACTTGGGTTATTTCGGGAGTTTCTGTGCTTGCCCACCTTTCTGGTTAGGTGACATCACAGATGAAAGTGAAATTCGGAAGACCCTCCTCTCAAATGACCTTAGAGGGTTTGTGGGGACGTAAAACCACATAATACCTTCTTACCTGCTTATAGACCTGGTTTGCCCGTAGAAATATAATTATAGTCACACATACACAAACGCAGAGAGAAACAGATGAGATTCAGGATGACAAGCAGATAGACAGACAGGCTTGCAAGCAGGCAGACAGAGACATGCATAAAATCGTCTAGCTCACAAACGCAGAACTCCGCTCCCTTACACCCCGATCGTCACTCTTACCACGAGTTCACACCAAACACTCGGACGAGCGACAGTCGTTCTAACCCTTATACCGGGTACCCACTAAGGATGGGATCAGATCGGGTCCGATCGATCTCCCGACTCGTCTCCTGAAAACAAAGATGGTACATAACAAGATAGTTCACTAAGTCAAAAAGGTGTCCTTGGAAGTCCGCGCATTGGTTCAGATGATTGATGGTCAAGGTTTTGAAGCTCTTTTTCGTTTCTCCAGAAGAAGAATAGGAATAGCATAGTTTGTTAGCTTCATTTTTATTGTTTTTTGCACAAGTATGTAACTCTGTTCGCAAAGTCAGCTCTTTTTCGGAGAGGGCTCCACCGAATTTTGAGGACACTTTTGAATAGGTTCAAAGAGAGGAGTGAACTATCTCGTTGTACAAGGTCTTAGCTGAAAACAAACGTGCTTGTTTTTGAGGCGACGAACCGGGCGATCGGTTTGTGTCGCTATAGCCGCTTTGCGCCCTCAATCTGGCTAGCAAACCGATCCGACCCGACCCGATCGTGCCAATGGGCACCCGGTATCACACAACTAATTGCGCTGACCAGACTAACGCTCGGCCGCTGTCGTTGCTTTGTTCTGAATTAATTAATGAAGGATAGGAGATTTTTGGGTACATTTGGTCAGTCGACCGTTGTCGTTAGAACGACCGTCGCAGGTCCGAGTGTATGGTGTGAACGCACAGGTATGCCACAACCTCTGTGGTGCAGCAAACGTACATGCTATTTCTTATGGCCAACTCTCTTCCTACCGATCTTTCACCCGAAGATTTTGTATCAAAGAAAGTGTACTCCCAAACCTAACACAGCCTTTGAAATGCCTTTTTCATGTCGAATCAAGTTTTAGGCTCCTACTAAAGTGAACCCTCCCCACCTCCCTCTATTCCCATAGAAAGAAAGAAAGGATCGATTAAACAACAACGCAAGTGGTTGGCGGGTGCTCAGGTGTGGTTTACTCATTTTTTCCTGTCAAACATCTAGGGTCCTTATCTCTCCTCTTTTTTTCTCTTTGTATGTTACTGTCTAGTAAGACGTCTAATCTTTAGCACTTATATGAATTTATTGTGTTGCAAGTGCCGTAAAACTTTCACTAGATCTAAAATCTGAACCAAACAAGCTGAACCATACATTATCTGGGCTCTGAGTAACGCGTTTCTACCGCTGCTGCCAGTGAGGACCGTCATGCTCTTGGTTCTCGCCCTAAACACCCCTGGAAATGCAGAGCGCAGATGTTTCTCTAACACATGAAACAAAGTAAAAGTAAACTTGGGCCCTCCATTCAGAATTTACTTGGTCTAGTACTCACACCAGGGGGTCTTCCCTCTGAGTAGAGCCACTTTGGATCGCCTTGACATGTGCGCAAAAAAAATGATTTTAACTATTCTTAGAAGGGGTGTCAAAATTTGATTTTAAGAGAAATAGCTCTGAATTGTGTGAAATCCATGTGGCGTTAATAATCAAATTTATTTGTAAAATTTTGGCGGGGGGGGGGGGTAAAAAGGAACAAATAAAATGTCGCTTTAAGCATACTCCTGGGTAAATTTTCCCCCATAACATAATAGCTATTACCAACAGTATCTACTCTTCTGAGAATGTCAGGCGTCCTATTACGAGATAATAGGGCACTTAAATAGGTTAGCTCTGGGCCCAGCGACCTCGCCAAATTGGACATAATGGTTTCATCCGCGAAATAAAAACTAGAGAACGCTAAATGTGTAACATGACTGCAGTCAAGAGGACACAAGCACACATACACGTTCGCTATCCGACCACGGGCTGGCCATAAACAAAAGGAATCACTTTTAAACAACAAATAAGCGTTTGTTTTATAAAGCTAATGATACGGGAGAGATTCTTGGGGACATACCATTCTCCTTGGAATTTCCTACTCTAAAGGAAAAAAATTGATATTTCTTATAGGGATTGAAGTGGCTTTATTTGTTAACCGGAAAAATGTTGCAAAATGCTCTCAGATATGCACTGGCGGTATTCGTATCTTGCCTTTTAATTTTGGCAGATTGTAGATATAATAGATATAGTTATGGCGCTGCGGACAAAGAGGTAAGTGTTAGCTGAAATGGTATGTAATATATGTACACGTATTTGAAAACTATTGCAGAAAAGCAACCAAAATTATATTTTTTTAAGTTTCCAGAAAATCAGATTCAAAGTTCAAACCATTTGGTACCTTGATCGTCACTGTATCGTGACTTATTCTCTTTCTACGGGGTACGTAACTCACCAATGACTGTGTTGCTCGGTTTGCCAATTTTCAACTTAAATTATAATGTAACACCCATGCTATTTTGGCAATGGCTCAAGAATTTCGAGACTGTGACTTTGGTGGTTTTTTACATTTTGCTCTTCGTTTATTTCATGTTGTATGGAAGTCTCAAATCAGAACTCACAATGTGAGTTACGGGAATCTCTTTTTATGCGAATCGGATCCTCGGTTGGCGTAAAGCACGTGAGCTCGGAACAAATGACATAATTTTACCAAGTATCGTAAAAGATGCCAACTCAGGGTTATTATGTTGTGATTTACGAGTGGCACGCATACAGAGAGTTGAGCCTTTTAAGGTAGAACAGCTAACAATATGCATTACCCGTCCAGCCCGGGAATGGATGGATAAATAGATGGATGGATGGATGGGTGGTTGGATGGATAGGAGCATGTTGAATCATAGGTATGTTTGTATATGGAAGTATGCATGCACAATTCATCTATTTGCCTGTCGGCATGTAGGTAGGTAGGCAGGTAGGTAGGTAGACCTACATACTTGCGCACATACGAACATGTGTAAGAGTATAAATGTAATTAGTGTATTTCTCTGACTCTCTTTCTCTCCCTCCCTCCCTCCCTCCCTCTCCTCTTTCACCCTCCCTCCCTCTCTCTCACCCCTCTCTCTCATTCCTCTCTATCTCTCCCTTTCTCTCTCTCCCTTTCTCTCTCTCTATTTACCTATCTCTTTCTCTCTCTCTCTCTCTCTCTCTCTCTCTCTCTCTCTCTCTCTATCAACTCTATCTATCTATCTATCTATATATCTATCTATCTATCTATCTAT